CAAACGAGTTCGAGTGGGGAGATGGATGAACCGCAATACTGGTACAAAGGTGCGGTGGACGTTGAAGGAACAAGAAAGGAAAACTTTCATTACAGCCTCTCGGATCCAGTGTAAGAAGGGCGAGGAGCCCAGCAACGGTTATCCGCTGTACCTTTCTTTCTTTCTTTTTTTTTTTGTGTGTCTTTTCAAGTAAAACGAGGGACTTGTTCGCTTTCGCTAGCGTATCGACAAGGCGGGTCAACGACGATGGGCTCACGTTTCTGATGTTTTCGATTGCGGATACGGGCCCTGACTTTAGCCACATTATATTTCCTAGTCTAGCGATGCATAGGGGTCGATTGAAATAGTAAAATAATAAATGCGGAAAAAAAAGAAAGAAAGATTAAACTAATATTAAGAATAAAAAAAACACTACTAAAAATGTTGTGGAATAGGTGTGTGTGTGTGTGTGGTTTTAGTGCATGTTAATGCATCCGCAGATCAGAAACACAAACATTTTAGATGAACTTGGCCGAGACGGCCGAGACTAAATGAATACCCAGTTCTCGCGAGTCGGGTTTTTTTTTTTACACGGCTATATCAGAAAAAAAAATTAGCAAAACCTTGTGTATGAGGGAGGGGCTTCTAGACCAACGATACAATAGAACCATCATTGCTTTGTTCTCGTTAGCCTGTTTCAGCAAAGCTCGGACGCGCACACCTTAATGTCACGATCCCATATAGAAGCTGTCGCGGGTATCACGTGACCACGTGATACCCTAGTTCTTACGCGCGCCTGGAAGCCACGCTTCCACTTTCTCTTGCTTCCTCGCGCTACGTCTTGTATCTAGAACCTAGTCTAGACTTCGCTCTGATACGAATATCTTCCAGGAATCATTACTAAGCCCTTCTTCGACGTGAGATCCTCACACTTAACTATGAGTTAGTAGCCCTGTTGATCTGTAGCAACTAGTGCGAAACTGAATGATGGATGGTAAAATAAAAGTCATTTGCCATTCTCTTTTTTCTTTAAGTGTCCGAGCTGCCACTACTTGTCAAACGCGCTTTGCTCTTTTTTTTTACTGCAACTCGGATCATGATGCTGAATCGGACGGTATTTGCATGACGAACATGAAGAATGAGCTGTTTATTAGAGAAACAGGTTGCCTCCGTGCGCCAACACATTCTCTGCGACGTGACAAACCCCCCCCCCTCTCACAACGCTTGGCCCTGTGTCAAAAGAACTGTTGCTTAGACAGGGGGAGAAGGGGGGGGAGGGGGAGCAAAAGGTCATCGAGGTAACTATTTTACCTGCCCAACTTTTAGAAACAAGTTAAACCCCCACGTGGCAAAGCAAAATAAAAAGGCTCAAGAAGCCAAGGTGAAGCAGGATTTCTCCACCAACCCGGCAGCGTTCGCACCCGGAAACACGCCGTTTGGGCTGCCGCCTGCGGTTTCGGAAAAGGTATGCTTTGGCCAGGGTTTTTTTTGGGACCAACAGAAGAGTCCCTCCTCCGTGGACAGCCGCCCACGGCTAGCCCCAACCATGGATGCCCGCCGCGTGCTGGCCACAATGGATGGACAGGGAACGATGGCGCTGGCGTGGGGTAGTTGTGAACGGACATGTGCGACTCTTAGTAGGACAGCGCAGCCATTGGATGACCTGCAGGTGGGGGCATCCTTACCACTGCTCACCAGCAACTATCACGACGTTGACATCCTAGTTTGTTCGGCTGCGCTATGAGTTACCAATAGCGCCCTGAGGCGAGATTGCTGAGGCAAGTCCTTCCCGTCCGAGCCCCGTGACAAACTGTATATGCAACTTCGTCTAGGGGTAACCCATCTCTTGAAACACTATTCTGTTCTACTAACCACAGCCTGACCGTGAATAAAGTCTGAATTAATGCTAATGTACAAGATAAGCCGTGCGTAGGACACATATTAATATCGTTGACCTGATCGAATGGGGACGAAGTAGTCGTGAAGATCAGGTTCAGTGCTTCGGCACTGTGGAAGAGCTGCGAGCCTACACTAAAAAGACAGGAAAAGTATTACGTAATACTTTCAATCAAGCCGATGGCAATGTTGTTTTACGGCATCTACTTCGGGAAATATTTCGTGGGGGCTTGTAAACCGAATAAAAACAATTTCTGTATTGCGATTTGACCCAAAATGCCACTGTTGTTTGTACATTGATGTTGGCGCCGTGGCCAAGTAGCAGGTCAGGAATATCTAGGCTTAAGATGGATGACAGATAACCCTGAATAGATGCAGAACCAATGATAAGTGGTCATGGTTGTGTCCGCAAAACCGAGCAGGTAAACATATAACCTCCCGACTCGCCACTGTCCAGTAACAGGTGCGGGTTTTAAACACAGGCCGAACTGGTAACTTATGAATCAATCTTTGGTGTGCTTGCCTGACGGCGTAGCCAGAACGACGCGAAAAGATGGTCAGAGGCCGTGTTTCTGCACACTTGAAGCCCTACAAAGACTGGAATATGAATATGCATACCGGAAAGGTAGACTTAGAGACCTCGCTTCGCGTCAAAGCAACCGGCGGCCCTCTGGAAGGTTTGCCGAGGCGTCCACTGATGCGGTGAATCAGCTGCATCTTGTGGGACTAATCCTTTCGCAGCTGGCGAAACAAGAAAACACGCTGCTTTCCCAGTCTGAGGCTGAGCCTGATATGAGGTGCATAAAAGAGAAGATGAAACTGGAAACAGCAGAAATTCTACGGACAATTCTATGAAGTAGAATGCATGGATCCAGTCGGGCGAGCCAAGCTAGCTCTAAATATCTTTGCTATTATTAACAATGTAAAAGCGTTTATTATAATACATATAATATCAATAAACACTGTATGTATTAATACATAGAACTGCTCTGCCAAGAGACCTGGGAAAGAGCGGGTTTGGACTCGTGGCTACGTGCCACTAAAGTACGTGCCCGACAAAGCTCGCAGCGCCAGCGTCTGTCCTGCGTATGCACGTCTTAAGTTGTTTGCCCTCTTACTTGCCCCAGCCTCTATACTCGCACCGGTAAAGTGTGCGACACATCTAATCTTCAATAGCACACCGTGGGCCCGGTTGTGGTGTATCGCGTTCTCGGGTCGAGTGCAGAACTGTATGTACATGCCTAACAGCCAGGACGTGATGGCTGCCGATTGGAAGGCAGTATGATTGAGCTGTGACTAGCTGGAAACTTCTCAGAGTTATATTGGCAATGATGCATGTGTCGTGGTTTTGCGTCTGGTCTATTGCCATGGTCAGTCCCCGTCATTGTCATAGGGGGTTGTCGTCGCCGTCTTTGTCGTCGTTGCCGTCGTTGAGCGAGGTCATCAATACAATCTACCAACCAAGCCCAGCAAGTGCAAAATTGTGATCTGATGGAACAAAATCAAGACCGACCTCAGAATTAGACAACTGGTTTGCGGCTGATTCTCGCCGTCTGTTCCCCGAGCATCTATGATGTTGCTGGCCATTTAATGCAGGTAGTTGACATTGGCGTCATTTCTGCAAGTACAAGCACCAACAGCGCAACTGCTCCCTGGAAGCATTTCGGCACCACGGCACCATACTTAGCGCAACAGAGTATGTGGCAGTAACGTTTTTTTAGGTTTAGTGTTCAAACCAAAGAGGTAAAATCCCGGCCGAGTGTTGAGTCTCAGCGAGAGAGCTGCTGCAATGCACTAAGAAACAATTTGGGACGCGGAAACTATGCGTATGCAGGTGAGACAGCTTGGGAGAGGCGTCAGCGCTGGATCATGAGTGCTAATTCGCTTTTTTTTGTTGCCCCAGGTTGGTTAGAACTCACTCCGCTGACCCGCTAACTCACAAGACGTCGGCAAATGTCAAAATTATTGCTTCAAGCCAACACGCGTTTTCTTTTCTTTCACTTCCATGCCTTCGGTATTGATATCCCCTACTCTTCTGCCAATTTATCGACTTCTGCGAAAGCATGGTTGCCTGCAGCAGATGTGGGCTGTGCGGTGTTGCAGCTGAAGGCGCCTGACTCGATGCCATTAAAAATACCGGCCGTCATGGGTTGCAAGGCTCACTGCAGGGCTCTTTCAGGCGTGACTCCGCACAGCCTTTGTAGCTTTCAGGTAGCAAAGATGTAGACGAAAAGGACGTTTCCAAGCATCTAATGGCGACCAGCTTCATCGTTAGTTTCTCCTTCTGTTGCCTTTCCGATACGATGCGCTCAATTTACAAACAGCTCGGCCAAGGCGAGACTATCCGAGTCTTGAAAATAGCTAGGTCCGTCGCCCAGACTGATCAGCTGTACGGAAGCTTGCAAGTCGTCAAGTTACAAGAGCGGCCAAAATACCAAGCTTTGTCCTACGTTTGGGGACCTAGAGGGCAGCATGATCCAATTGTACTGATTGATAATTGTCCTTTTCAAATCAGTACATCTTTATTTCAAGCGTTTTTAAAGCTCACAATCGGTGCCTCACCAGTCACTCTATGGGTTGATCAGATCTGTATCAACCAACTGGACAATGCCGAAAAGCAGCAGCAAGTTCGACTGATGTCTAGGATATATCAGCAGGCCGACCAAGTTATATGTTGGCTTGGCGTTCAAGAAAACAACAGCGATATTGCTTTCAAGCTCCTCCGCATTCTTAATCTTAGCGATGGGATGTATGAAGCCTACAACGACCTGGTGGCCGGAGGGTATGCGCGAAGCCCCGCCGATCTCTTCAGTCCATCAAATACACTTGGTAAAGCAGTAGCTTTACTTTTTCAGAGATCCTGGTTCGAAAGACTGTGGATCGTGCAAGAAGTAGCCCTAGCGAATCGTGTTTTGGTACACTGCGGTGCATGCTCCATGGAAGGGCAGCTATAAAAGCCGCATTTGCGTCTACATTGGCTATGGATGGCAACATCATAAACGAGACCCGGATGGAAAGCAGCATTGGCCCAGAAAATTTCAGAATGCATTTCGACCACTGGGCTGCGAGAAACCTAGTTGCGCTTGGCAAAGGACATCTGAGGAACATGGGCGCGAGGAATCAACTCATATCGCATATCTCGCAGCGCAACTTTGCCGTCACATTCTTTATTACAGAAACTGGGAAATTGGGACTTGGGTCTGTTCACATATCCCCTGGAGATTCGGTGTTCCTTATTCACGGCTTGAAAGTGCCTTTGTCGTAGCAGATAGCACAAGCGGCTTTCATGCATTACGAGGGGAATGTTTTGTGAGCGGCCTGATGGAAGCAAAAGTGGGTTGCTCTAACGCGGACGAATATCTATTTTTAAGTTGAGTTTCTATAGGACAAATATTGTGAACTAAGTGATGCTCTTTATCCACAATGTCTCTCCTTTCCATTCCCACTGCGCATACTGAATATGTTTACTTCGTGACCCAGACACCGGTGCCCTGGTTCATCCAGATAGTGACATGAACAGCGGATCCCAGTTCGACGTCAAGCGCAGCCATGCTTTTCGCGCTACAGAAAATCGACGCAGCGAATGAATATCACTTCTGCGTGTAGAGTCACGTTCAAGCCTCCGTAGAGGTATCGATTAGACAGCGTGATCGCAAAGTTAAAGGAATTGTCATATTCAGGATGGCGGTTTATGGGTCCCGGATCAGCGCGGAAAGTGAAAGATATACGACGGGGAGAAAGAGCCAGCATAAGCGGAGAAATTCGAAAGTTTACAGAGAGCCATAAGCTGAGCATTTTCTAATATCCATTCGAAATTTTCTCATCGAATCTGTGGTTTTCACGGTGGTGTATGGTCAAGTTGACAGCGAGCACACCACGCTGTGTGGCTCAGCATAGGTAGCCTGATTCCTTGGAGATCGCCGAAGCGGCTTGGTTGGCGTGGCGACCAGGTGCGGAGAGGCATCTTGAATGTTCCAGCGCTATATTTCTTCTTGCTCAACTTGCCATCTCAGCTGCTAGTGCGAATCCATTACCTGGCGCCTATAAATGGCTCGACCTTTTGAACCGTCTAGAAACGACCGAAAAACAGTATACTGCAACAATAAGTGCAGGGCTCTCTTTCGGCAGCCGCGCAACGCCGCGCTTCGAAAGGCGAAGCTTGTTCGTGATCTTGTCCAAAGACACCGGCTTTCCGTCTGGCTCTACTCAGAAGACCAGTTGGTTACCATTCTTCGCTCTCTTCTCGACGATCGGATATTCGAGAGCGACTATATAGCTCGGCATAACTTCCCGGAGCTTTTCCATAGCCCTGAACCACAGCCTGCCCCAGCTACGGCCACCAACGTGGAGACTTCTGCGTCCGAGTCCATCATGGCTCTACAGGAGTCCATTAAAGCTTCGGTGTTAGGAAAGCGCGCCCGGTAAGCAAGCCTCGCGAATAACCTCCTTCCTGCACCTGCTTATTAGCTCGCCGCTGCTTATAGTTTGTTCGATACTGGCGACCAGTCTGACATTATAATCAGTGCTGGAAAAAAAAATACTATGCTCACCAACTTATAATTTGCGAGTTCTCCGATGTGTTGAAATCCTCGTGCCAATTTGAGCGGCAGCGAATAACGTCGACCGCCGAACAAGCAACCGAAGAGGAGGCAAGGCAGCTTCAGAGCAGTGCACGCCCTCTTAAGCTGACACTTGACCTCTCGGCACTTGACCCAGTCGCGGTCGATTGTATGTTGCAATTCTTTTACCGCCTAGATTATAACTGTCAATCCGTTATTGCAGGGGGTGGTGATATCCTCTCTGAAACAGCCGAAGGCGAAAAAGTTATCCAGCCTAGCTTGTCAACCCATGTTCTTGTTCATAAGATTGCAAATTATTACATGGTCGACGAACTCAAGAAGCTTGCCTTATTAAAGTTTACCGCGGAGGTAAAACAAGCAGTTCAGCCGGAGGATTTTGTTGCTGCTACCGAAGAAGCATATCGTGACATGCATGAGTGTTTCGACGCATTGCGCAAAGAGGTCATTTATGCAGTCCATCGCCACCGAAAACAGCTGCTCCCAGACGCTGGGGTCCAAGATTTGTTGTCTTGCAATGGGGTTATAGGCTACGATAGCCTCTGTTATTTCGCAGAGAGATTCTAAGTTAAAGTTAGCAGTAACACTGGATGTATACTCATGGGCAAAATGGGCTTCCAGTTTTAGTAATGCATTCAATTTTCCCAACAACTTCGAAAGAGTAACAAAGAAGGGGGAGGAACACTCCCACTTATTCAGCGGCAG